GCCACAGCAGAGAGTTAATTTTTCCAAAACATCACACACTTCTTTAAGTAGACATGTATATGCACTAAATATGTGTTTGGAGTTTTTCCTATAAAGTATATGCTGTCCAAAGTTTACTTAGACTTGATCAAGTTATGTTGATAATGAAACCAAACCCACTCATTTTGCCCATTTTCTTTTGTTGGAAATGCAAGATATAGCGATTGTATATCAGCATGAAATAAGCACTACAGAAGATACTAATCCTATGTCTATCACATTCAATCTTGCAATTATTTATAAATCGAAATGTGGATCTGTAAGAACATCTGCTATCATATTAGCCTTAAATACTTTAACAAAGTATACAACATAGCACACCTTTCCACTTCAGGAACTTTTAGAATAATTTAGAACACATTATTTCCAGACTGGTTTCTGAAAAGGATGTAGAATTTTTTTAAAAAGCAGCAGAATCAATATAAATAATGAGGTAAAACAACTATTAAATGAAACAAGGTAATGGCATACAGCTTTTCTAATGGAAGATGTGCGTTTACACTTGAGATTCTGCATTAGTAAAAGGACACTGAAGTATAAAAAGGGCTCATATCCACTGGAATCTGTAAAATGCTGTCAACAGCGACACAAATTTGTTAGCTTCCAGGAATCTTCCAAGATGCTGATATTTTATGAGAGAATAAAAGTAAAGAAAAGGTTGAATAAACTAGGTGAAAAGTATTAAAAATAGTCTTGGTAGGAGCAAACTGCTCTTATTACCATGTGTCTGACAACAGTTCAGAACGAAAATTAAAGCCTTTCAAAATCAAAAGAAATTACAATGTGCCGTGAACTGAAATTAAGGATATTCCCCAAAGAATGGAGAATAGGTTATTGAAGAATAGCATATGAAAAGGAAAATAATTTCCTAAGAGAAAAAAAACCTGTAAGGAAAAACTTAAAATTCAGCTATAAAAATTAATCTTTTTAACCAGTCAAAAAAAAATCCAATAATTACTAATCCTCTACACTTGGGCAAGTCTTACATTAAAGGGGAAAAATATATATAAGTTCAAGGATCTCTTTGAGAAAATATCCCAGCATAAGTCTGTCAAATGGAGATGAAGTATAAAAGGTCAAATTTAGGTTATTTCATCCTGGGGGGTAAAACAAAAATAATGGGGCCACAGTCTGGACCATACAGAGCTCACTAAATTGTTCGTTGAAGTGGGGACAACTCCTTCTATAGTTAAGAGTAACTAGGTAGGCCTAGATTTTGTTCTTAAGTTTTTGTAGGTTGAAAATGTATTTTGAACTGGTGTTGTCCATTTAGATCTGCCTGGTAACACATTAAGTTTCTTTCTTTTCCTTTCCATAAGCTTGACTGCCTTCTAATAAGGAAGGCAGCCGTGATTCCCAGTCTAGGCAATTCCGAGTTTAGAATTTTTTTCCTTCTCTCCCATTATCAGAATCTGTGACTGTATGCACTATCAAAACTTAGAACTAAATAAAGAACTCAAAGTTAAAGGACTTTGTAACCACCTGGGCTAGGGACAGAAGTTACACATAAACCAGTTTAAGTGATCAGAAACTGGCTTAAACCTGCAACAGAACAGAAATTCAGTGCACATAAGCCAGTTTCAAAATGGCCAAAACCAGTCTGAGATAAACCTAGTTGAATGTAGTATCAGACTTTACTGATTGCAGTCAAACTGGTTTATGGAACTTGGGTCCCAGACCCCTTCCTGGTTTAAGTTAAATCAGTTCTCCAGCATCCCATCAGGCTCTGCAGCCCTGGGCTGGGCTGGGCTGCGCTGTGCTGTCTGTTCCAGCCAAGCCTGGTTGGCCCCACCCCTCTCCTCCCTACCCAGAGTGCTATCACTGCTCCTGTTGGCTGAGCAAGGATGGGGATGCAAAACCTTGCAATGGAGTGCTGCCAGATCTGCCTTGCAAGGGGGCAGCAGCCCTTGCCAGGTGTCCCCAGCACCCCAGCCCCCTCACTGCTCGGGGGTGGAGCCAGACCCTGGTAGACTGAGGGGAGCGGTGGTTTAATCCTTGCATTGCAGGGGGGGGACATTGATAGGCTCCACCCATGCACCCGGGGCCACAGCATCCAGACAGCAGTAGCCTAAGGGAAAGGGGAGAGTTAATTCCCCCATTGCAGGCAGCAGCAGCAGGAGTGCTGACATGGCCCTGGCTCCATCCCACGCTGAAGATCCCCTCAGGCAGGGCCTGCGCCACAGCACCTGGGCCAAGTCCCTCAGAGGAGCGGCCAGCCAGCTGCGGGGAGGGGTTAAGGGTTAGGGTTAGAGCAGCCCGCCCTGAGTTCCCAGCACCGCTGTGAGCAGGCGGTGGGTAACAGGTGCTTCATCTCCACCCGCCACAATGTTTTGCTCTGCTGCCACCAGGAGAGGGAGGAAGCAGAGAGCTACGCTGCAACTGCAGCCCACCTACAAACCACAGCCTCTGCTGAGGGCTGGAGGCAGCAGATGCTGACTCCTGCCCCCTGGGGCCGCCCCAGCCCAGGCTGCAGTGCCACAGTGGGAGGCAGCAGTGAGTCGGGATCCATAACTAGCCCCAGATCCTCTTCACCTTGTAGCCAGGTCACATCCCCGCTCCCCAAGGCTAGCTGGCCACTTCTCTGACACAGGCCAGGGCCCCATGTCAGTGCCCCCACCACTGCTGCCTGTGGTGGGGGGATTAAACCCCGCCTTTCCTCTCAAGCTACTGGCATCTGGCTGCCGCAGCCCCCGGTGCACAATCAGAACCTATCGGTGCCTGCACTGCCCCCATTGTAATGGGGGGATTAAATTCCCACTTCCCCTCAGGCTACCAGGGTCTGGCCTTGCCCCCACTCCTGCTGCCAGCCAGTGAGTGAGTGGGGGTGGAAGAGGCTGGAGACCCCTGGAAGAGGCTGCTTCCCCCCTCCCACTCCAGGTACACCCTAGCTGGGGTCCCTGCAGGCCAGGGTGGGGGTTTAAACTTCTCCCTAACCATACGCAAGCTGCCAGGGCCTGGCCATTCCCTTTCCCTCAGCTTAGTTTCTCTCCAGCTAAGAGCTCACTCTAGCACCTCCCAGCTTCTGGCCTGAACCACTACAGGCATGTGCCGGCATTTCTGGAGTCAAAAGTGAATGTTTCTTCACTGGCAAATTGGTTTAATCTATGACTAACCTTCAAAGATTGAATTAATTCAGATTCGGGCTTTTTACATGTCTATACCTAGCCCTCAATACATTTATTTGCAGTACAGGTAAATGCAAGAGAGGATCCAAGACAGTTAACTTGATTATAGCTGGCTGGAATGTTGAAAGTATTGGCAGAAAGAGAAAGGAATAAACAGTCTCCCGCTAGGCTCCCTCCCTACCTCAATGCATCCATATAGGGTTGGGGGGGTTTTCTGGAGACGGAATTAGACATAGACCAATATCTCCTGCTCTGTTATTAAGCTGGCAAGTTTGTGGGAACTCATTAGGCAGATGTGTCATCCTGGATTACTTTATACGAACAGCACATTTTGTCCATCTGCAGTGCTCTTGGGAAGGGTATCTTCCACTTGGCAGCTAGATATCACTTTAGTCAAAGCCGGCTCAGTTTAAGGACATATTAACAGATAAAGGTTTGGTTGAGCATTAAACAATCACTTAACCAGAGCAATAGAATTTCCTTGATGAAAGAGCTGGATGCCATAACTGGTCCTGAAAGTTGATTTGAATACTTTAGGGGCATTGGGCCTAGGGTTTCCACTAAGACAGTCTGACACTTAGAAGATCTGGGAAGTGATAGGAACAATATCCTGTAAGAGCTCTTTCATTCCCTACTGGGAGGGACTACCTGAAAGAAATAAAAACCATACTGGTAAATGTCAGTTCCTTGAGACCAGATGTGGAAGAATGATGCAATTCTTCACAAGGTGGAAACAATTAAGGAAGGATTCATGATCCTGGATCCTACAATCCTGCATTGCAGGATTACTGCCAGTAGTCTCCAGATGAGTTAAATTAATAAATAAAGTTGTGCCCTAAGTATAAAGGCATCCAGATACTGGATCTGAATATCCATCCAGATGCTAGATTTGAATGGTCAAATAAATGCCAACTTTATGAGTTTAAGAAGCAGCATGAACACCCAAATATACAGAGGTGGATCCAGGATTTTGTAAAGTGCGGTATGGTGCTACACTCCCCACTCCCAGTTTCTTCCACCTGCTCATCTACACTGGGGCAGACAAGCTCTCAGCTGCTGCTCTTGCAGCCATGAGTCCCTAGGAAGGTAAGCATTCCCCACTTCCTGTTCCCTCTCCATGCTCAGAGGCAAGTTCACTCCCCTTTCTTCTTCATCCCTTCCTCTCCCATCCCTCCCCCTCCTGCCTGCTGTTGCCAGGTGCTGTCCTGGGAGTAGGATGAGCTCCTGCCCATTCCAGTTAGGCTGAGGGGTGGGGCTTGCTCACCAGGAACTGCAGCAGCAGCATTGGCCAGGAGGCACATTCCCCCTTACTGTGCCTGCTCCTGGGCTGGCAGAGAACACCCCAGGGGGAGCAAGCAAGGAGGAGGAATGTGTCTGCTCGCTGCAGCCACTGTCACAATCTGTGCAGCCCAGCTGGAGTGGGTAGGGGCTCCCCTCCCACCACCCCCGGTGGCAGGCAGGAGAAGGGTAGAGAAGGAGCGGGGACATACCTTTGAGCATAGAGGGGAAGGAAGTGGGGACATACTTACCTTCTTTGAGATTTAAATCCCTGACTGCTGTTTTGGTGGCATGGTTGGAAAAGTGGGTGCAGGTGTGCCACTTCACCCCCTCTGGAACCACCCCAGCAAGTATAGCTTCTGGACATTCTTTATGAAGTCTTTAAATCAGACATGTAGAACACTGTGAAATATACTTACAAAGAAAATTCTATAGAAAATGTTAATGCATTACAAATTCCAATTAGAGTGCACAATAAATATTTATTCTATTACATTGTATTAATAAATTTTATCGTTTGAATTTTTCACAATGCTAATATTTTATGTAACCCTTAATTTGGTTAGCTAACAGACATCATAAAACAAAAATCATGGGTAATTTGTAAGTAAAGAACATTGCAGTTACTCAGATATGTATTTATATAAGCAGATACATATTACAGGAAGCATCTTTGCTCTTATTTCATTTTACCTTATTTAGAAGTGCCTAAGAACTATCCTGGCTTCAATAAAGTACTTTCAAATACTTTTATTTATAATCCTGAAAACAGCAAGTTATTTTAACAAAGAGGCTTAAATAACTTTCAAAAAGACAGAAACATACATGGAATTGTGTAAATTAGCTAGCAATGTTTTTGTTATCTAGCCTGTGAAGCAAAGTTGGCTATTAATGAACAGTTATCAAATAAATTCTGTAACTGTATTTGAAGAGTTTTCATTCTGGCGAGTTTTATGTTTCAGAATTTATGATATATCTTGTTTTTATATGTTTTAGAAAATACCATCAAATATTCCAAGAAAAGGCTTAACATCATTGGCTTCATCATCTGGAAGATATCTAGTAAAAATGAAGCAAATCAAAAAGTTATGTTATTTAGACTATATAAAACCTATGAAATTACACAGTGTGCAGCTAGGAAACAGCTGTATTACCAAATAATTCTAAATTCCATTTCTTCATATGAAAAGTTAATTACAACTAATAAAATAAGGACTCATAACCTTTATGAAATATTTTTTTATATGGAAGGGTTTTGCCTTAAAGCAGGGATCGGCAACCCCTGGCACGTGTGCCAATTAATGACACGTGGAGACATTTTCCTCAGTATTCCAGGAGGCATGCGAGGAAATTGTTTAAAAAACAAACAAACACGTTTTTAAGTTACTGCTCCAGGCTCCCTGGAGCAGCTACAGGTTCTAGTGCTGCAGCAAGCACCAGGGGTGGAGTCAGGAGAACAGAGGTAGGGACCCTGTCCCCAGGCTGCATGGTCCAGCCCAGCCTAGTTTCTAGAGGGGAACTGCAGGGAGGCGTGGCCGAGGCTTAGGCAGGTGCTGCACAGGAAGCTCCCAGTGAGTGGGCAAGCCCTGAGCCTAGGGCTTGAACAGATTAACACCCTGTCCCACCCAGGCGGGGGCAGCACTGAGGCACCAGAGCCAGGCACTCAGGGTAGAGTCCAGGCAGCAGAGAGAATCAGGTGCAGGGGGAAGCACTGCAGTCAGGCTGGCTCGGTTGGCCCCATGGGAAGGCAGGGGCTGGGTGGGAAACATGCTCCGGGATTTCATTGGCTCAGGCTGCGGCGGGTAGGGGCACCCAGTGGCATCCAAAGTGGGGCCCAGCCTGGCCTGCACAGCTCTGCAGGGATGGCTGCAAGGGAATGTACTGCCTGGACAGGGCAGGACGCTGGGCGCAGGGTGTTCCCAGCTCCAGGCTTGGCCTCCCTGCATGCTGGGCACAGTGCAAGTGGGGCAGAGCTGCCCCCCATGCAAGAGCTCAGCCGCAAGAGCCCTCTGGGCCCCAGGAACAGCTGCTGTGGCTGCACAGGCCTACCTGGGCCCCAGTCTTGTCCACCCTCAGCTCCCCTTCAGGGGCCAGGCAGGCGCTAAGCAGGGCCGCCACACTGAAGGCTCCCAGCTGGTTTGGCCCCAAGGGACTGGGGAAGCGCACACATACATACTTCCGGGTGGATGGCAGTGGAGGGGCCGGGGTTGTGCTGCCCCTGCCCTGAGGCATGTGTTGCAATCACCGCCAGTGAGGAGCTGATCCTGGTGTCTGGAGCCCTGGCAATAGTTCCACGCTGGCAGCAACTGCACGCATGCCTCAGAGTGGATGGTGGAGGGGCTGCGGTTGCACCGCCTCAGGCCCCCCTGCTGCTATCTGCCCAGAAGCGTTCACGCAGCATCCGCTGGCACAAAGCCCAGCTGGGATCTGGAGCCAACAGGAGTGGCACTAAGGGGGCTACAGCCACCCCAAGATTCTTCTTAGCCACCCCTCCAAGCCCAGCCCCCCGCCACCTGGGAGTGCCACACTTTTGCAGGCTCAGCTGTGCAGGGCAGGTGGCAGCCACACTGGGGAGGGGGAGGTTAAAGAGAATTTGGGGAGGGGGGGGCTAAATCGAATTTTGGGGTGGCCATGGCCCTTCTAGCACCACTCCTCCAGGTGGCTGATAGGCCGAGACCTTGGTGAGACACGCAGCAACCCGGGTGCCAGCTCCCCAGGGAAGCAAAGGGGCTGTGGTGGGCCCGGGACATCGTTGGGTTGGACTTTGTTCTGCATTCCAGCAGCTTGGCCAGGCACGTGTCTGGTAGTGTGCATGTATACGTGTGTCTGGTTCTGTGTGTGTTTGTGTGCACGCGTGTGGTTCTGTGTGTGTGTACATGTAGCATATGAAGTTTTATTTACTGTCACCAGGTTTAGAATTTTTAGAAAATCTGCTATTTACTGTAAAAAAAAAAGAGAAGCATTTATGATAATTATGTTAATATGCAGTGTGTCCTGCCATGTACCCCCTGCCCCAGTTTTGTTTTTTGGGCATGCCGGCACTCTATCACCTTACAAGGTAGACATTGTGTTTTTTTCAGCACTCTGGCCAAAAACATTGCCTACCCCTGCCTTAAATGCCAAGATCCCATTGAATGCTCAGTACCTTGGAGCATCAGAGTCATAAAAAAAATATTTTTGTTACCTGAGATTAATTTCACTTTTTCTTTCTTTATTACAAATAAAAAAATCCCCTTTTTCACTGCTTTTAGAAGACTCTGAGACTGTTCCTGAGTTTGAAGAACAAAATGGTTTTTTCACCTCAGAAGGATTGGGATGTTTTTTTTCTTGAAAGCTGAACTGAAATGTAAAGGTTACAAAATAACCACGATTAAAAAGCCAATTTAAAGAGAAACATCTATACTATAGTACTTCATAGTATCCATTAGAGGTGCACCACTACATCAGTCCGATATCGGATTGGCACCAATATAAAGAAAATTGGCTGTATCAAAAATCAGCCCAATGCGGCCAATAATTTGGCCGATAAATGCCTGTGCGCGTGTGTAGCTGCAGTGTGGCACATAGGCAGTAAGGAGCACAGCCCGGTAGCTTGAAGAGCTGTGTGCAGCTGGTAAGTCTGTTGTGGTAGAAGGAGAGGGGGCAGTGGGCGGGGAGGGGCAGAAGCTGCCCAGCTGGGGCAAGGTACAGGACAGAGCCATAGCTCATCTGGAGGTGCCAGGGGAGAGGCAGCTCCTGCCACTGTGCACACCCCGGGAGGACATGGGGGGGCGGCATTTGCCCCTTGATCTACGCGGGATGGGGCGGGGTGGGCAGATGGACTCCAGCTGTGGACTGGAGCCAGGGCTGTGCCAGGCTCTCCTCAGTGGGGGCAGAGCTTGGGGCAGGTGGCAGCAGCACTGGGAGGGGGCAACAGGGGGGCCTGCAGCCACCCCAGATTTTGCCGTAGCCCCCCTCCCAGTGCCACTGCTGCCCACCCTGAGCCCAGGCCCCACTGAGAAGAGCCCGGCACAGCCACAGCTCCAGCCTGCAGTTGCAGCCCATCTGCCCTGCTCCACGCAGATCTGTGGGCACATGCTCCCCACCCCTTGTGCCTTCCTGGGGTGTGAGCAGTGGTGGGAGCTGCCCCCCCTCCACCACAACAGACTTACCAGCTGCATGCAGCTGTATCGGAAATCGGATCAGTATCAGCCGATATGCCTCCTTAATAATTGTCTATCGGTATTGGCCCCCAAATCTCTATCGGTGCACTCCTAGCATCCATATTTATTACTTAGAGTCTGGTAGCTCACAGGAAAGGCCTAAGCATATGCTGAACTTCAGTCATATGCACAGATGCTTTGCTAAATCAAGGCTTGAGAGCAAAAGGCTTGTTGAAATGCTACATAATGCAGTACATGAGTGAAATTCACGTCTATTTCTTTTTGTAGGTCTATTTTTCCTGAAAATAGATTAATACTTGTATCTGAACAACAGAGGCAGTGTCACAAAAATGATCAGTCTTTCAAATATTGACAGAAAACTGAAAATGGTCAAACTGATTCACAGAGAAAAAATTCACTTAACTGCACTTTTGGATACACGATTATGAATATTTATCTACTTACATTATTTGTATTTCCATTCTGTGTTGGTAATTTCATTTTTGATGCTGCATTTAATGTGGGAGAGAGAGAATTCTGTGGATGAACACCCATCTTATCTTGCAACTTGCCAACACTGCAAATGTTAAGTTTGGATAATTTAGATATTTCAGAATAAATATAAATGGTTTTCTCTGAAGTGTAATGGTTTTAATTTCTACTCCCCCACATTTATGTTAATTGAAATGGAAAAATAAATAAATAACAAAGGTCTTTTTTAACGTTCAAACTTCTGTCATTTTCAAAGTTCACATTCCAATTTACCTAGTCCCCACAATTCTGTAAAATGTCATGGACAGCATTGTGCCAATAACATTATACATGTGCCCACCTCAAGAACAGACAATAAATGTTCAATAAAAAATTACATTTATGTTCAATAAAAATACATTTTTATTGAACATCCAAAACTTACTTTCCTGAAGTGTCACTTATGACTTCGTATTGTGTGTTCTGGAATAGTGGTTTATGTTGTATTGTATTTTGAAGGCAGGAGCTTCCAGATCCTGTACAAGGATGATAGTTTTAAGATAGTCATAAAACAGTCGGGGGTGAGATCCTTGTAAATCCTTCCTAGAATTCTAAGAGTAAAAGTGTCAGGCAGGGATTTGAATATTGTGTAAGTTTTTCACGTTTGCTTGTTTGGATTGCTGGTTAACTTTAAACGTTGAGGCAAACAGTCAAACTAGCAAAAATTTCTGTACTCAGGAAGCTATCTCATTGTTCCTTAAATACTAAGTCTTCCCTCAGTTCAATGCACCAAATCTTCTGCTTCTGTAAATCCCTGACATCGTTGACTCTATTAACAGGCAGTGTGACTGAATGGATAGGGCTCTGAATGGGAACGGATATTACTATAGTTATTCCTGGCTCTACCACTAACTTGGTGTGTTACTCTGAATTCCACTCCACTCTGTATATCTGTTTCTGCCACCACCCTTTGCCTATATGAAGTACAAAAGCTGCAGGCCAGAGCCTGTACAGATTAATGTAAGAGTTTATACTGAATTATCAAGGTCCAGTTACAGTTGCAGGCTCCAGGTTACAAATAGTACCAACCACAAAGAATATGGTCCTATGGATTTGTTTACACTAACAGAAACCAGACTCAAAATCCACTACTGGTGCAATTTTGCAAGACACTGCAGTGGTGGAAGTTGTAGTTTAAACAGGTGATTTTATAACTGTGTATGTTAATGTTGCTCAGAGAAAAGACAGGAAGTATGAATGTTAACAAAACTGAATTTGAGTCCGATCTGGTTACTGCTGTTCTTTCAATCCTCTATTTTGGTTTGGAACTAAATCAGGAAGAGTGCTTCAGACTGACCATGAAAGATCCTAGGAAATAATACACCTGAAGTCAGTACTATAAACCTGATTATGGTATTACATAACATGTGTAGAAGAAAAAGTTATGGGATCTGTACTTCAGGTAACAGGAGATAATGATCTTTGACAGTTATAAGAGTATGTTACAGTCTTTGGAAAAGAAAAATAGCCTACTATAAAAAATATCCATTGCTCTTAAAATTGTGTAATTCTATGAGAACTCAAAAGGACCCACTGATGCAAAGTTTTTAACTTTTGTAGCAGCATTAAAAATGGACCCACCTGAAGGAATAGGAAGGGCTGCCCCGCAGAGGGACAGAGTTTGTCTCAGTAGGAACACCGTTTGGCCTGAGGGTGAGGGAAGCTGCTTTGGAGGTAGCCCTCTTGCAAGTGGGAGGGGTGATGTAACCCCAGCAGGGTTTGAATGACAGAGGTTAGCTAAAGCTAAAGACCGGGAAGAGCCCTGGCCTGGGATTGGCTGAGAGGCTTGGTTAAAAGAGGGGAGCAGTTTTCCCAGGGGGAGAACAAAGGAGAGAGAGACAGGCTGGAGACCAGGGAAAGGATCTCCCCATGGCCGTCCCTCTCACAGCCCCTGGCAGAGCGCTGCAGAAGTAGCAGGGAGAGGCAGAGGCTGCAGGGAAGAGTGCTACAGTGCGTCCATTTTCTCTCCCTTACCCTCCCAGCCAGGGCAGGATAAGAGAGGAGCTGCCTGTGAGGAGAATCCAAGCCTGGGAAGCCCCTCCTGCAAATCCCTATGTGGCTGGGTGAGCACAGCAGGGGAGGGGGACCCAGGGCCAGGGGAAGAGGCTGAAGACTGCCCCGGTTTTTTTCCTGTGAGTGAGAAGGCAGGGAGGGGCCGCATTTGCTGGATGCTGTAAGGCTGTGCTTGGCAGGGGAAATTGTTATAACCTGCAGCCCAGACACTGCTCCTTGCTGAGCCAAGGGAAGGGGCCTGGGCAGGAATAAGCTTTCTTCCAGGGACTGCAGGGGAGGAACCACTGCCTGCTGCACCAACACCCCTGGAGCCTGTGCATAAGACACCAGCAGCAGGGACCACCCACAAATCCTGTGCAGGGGCACAGACAGTCCTGCTCCATGAGATGCTAAGCCAGGGGCAGTGCACACAGGGTCCTTAGTACACACTGTACGAGTTATAGACTATGCAAACAAGTTCTTGATGGTTTACTAGTTGGAGTATCAATGTATTTATGTATTGGTTCCTTATGTATCATGGGTAAGTTGCATACCTTCCCCTAGTGTAAAGTGCATCCAAGAAGCATTAACCCTTAAGCCACCATCACCAGGTCATGCAGTGTAATATTTGTTCTATTGCACTGATTATATGTTACCTTGTAAATAATTAAATCCTGTAAATAGTTTCATAACGGTCTGCAAGGTTGTTTGATTGTAAGGGGAGGACCCTGCAGTAGCTACCCAGGGAGCTGGGCGGGGCCACTGGCTAGCAGGTATCCCAGGATCCCACTATTCAGGTGAGGGTGCGGGTAGTGTCGTGCCCAGGGTTACACTTATTTGATAGAGGCTATAATGAATTGCATCAATTTGATAACTGAAACAAAAAAATATTTCTCTGCTGATCAGTTTAACAAGCATCCAATCACTTTTCAGCTGTAAGCGATGACACAAGGAAAAGCTTTTTCACTGTTAGAACAGTGAGGCAGTGGAACAGACTGCCTAGGGAAGTTGTGGAATCTCCATCATTGAAGTTGTTCAGGAAGAGGTTGGATCAGCATTGGTCAGTGACTATCTAGAAGTAGCTATACCTATGCTAAGCTATGCTAGGGATATTTTCCATGTTACTGGGCTTTTCTGGTTGCCACAGGAAGGAATGTTTTTCCCGCCTGTTGCCACATGTGTTGGGGGGTTTGCCTTCCTGAAAAGCATTGGGTATTGGCTGCAGCTAAGCCTAGGGATTTTGACTGGGGTACCAGTGCTCCTGCTGGTATAAAAACCCAGAGGTTCCTGGCTAGAGGGTCTTGTCCCTCTGCTCAGGATCAGACAGATTTCCAGGGCCAGATTAACCCTTTAGTGTGCCCTAGGCAAACAAACTCATGCGCCCCTGTATATATAATACTGTATATTTATATTATTTTTTTCACTCAATAATTATAATATGTAAAATAAGCACAACTGGGACCCTTTTCACTTAGGGCCCTAGGCATGTGCTTAGTTTGCCTATGCATTCATCCAGCCCTGATAATCACTATGTTTGGTGTCAGGAAGGAAGTTTACTCCATAGTAAGATAGACATGGACTGTAGGGGCATTTGCCTTCTTGTTGGGGGGAGGGGGTCCTCTTCTTTAATTCTCTAGTGCACATTTTAATAAACTTATTTGCAGCAGCAGGCCACAGACTGTCATTGTCGTCCTCCTTTCCCTGTGGCAGGTTAAGCTGTGTGACAGGGTTGATTGTGTAGTTTGGTAATAGGTTAGACAAGGATGTGTATGAGATGGTCTAGATAGTGATGATCCCACTTCAAGCAGGAGGTTGGATTAAGTGACCTCCAGAGTTCCCTTCGTGCCTTATTTTTCTATGATTCTATAACTCTAAGTACTTATAGCAAAACAGGGTAAAAGTTGATTTAGGGAAGTCTAACTGGTACATTGTCTATTCTGTAAGCATTCAGCAAGAATGATAAAAAACATGTTATAAAAATATAATCTTACCTAAATCTTTATTTGCCGCATCACTGGAAAAGCTGCAAGCATATATTAATTTCTCATCATCAAAATCATCCCAAACCTCATCTCCCAACTCGAAGTTCACATTCAGAGTCTTTGAAAACCAAGAGCTGCTTTTATCTGCATCAGTCAAGTTAGGCATTGAAGATTCAAGATTTTTGTTTGACATCATTGCCTGATGGGTCTTCTCACCCACAGTTGAAGAATGTTTCCAAGATAAATCTATAATGATTTCATTAAAAAAGAAGGCTTAGATATGCACTCTTTTCCAATATTATTTTAAGAAATAGTCCTCTTCATTCTAGATTCCAGTGAACGACTCTTCTAATGCATATTCTAAATAATCTGAGCTTCAGTTTTTTTCCCTGTGAGTGTATGAAAATTCTGGTCTGAGAGCAAGTTTAATATTTACGAACCAAGTCCCTTTTTCTCTGTACCGTTTTCTCCTATTCACCATTTCCCCAAGAGCTAATCACAATGGACTAACACATTTTAAAACCTGAATGGTAAAGCACTTAAAATTATATAATTTCTTAAAAAAAAAGTAATTTCTTGCATTTCCTATTTTAAACTTTAATTATATATCTTATCTATAACACTTCCCATTTATTATATGATATTTAATTATCGAGTATGACATGTTCTATAAAATTATATACATAAAATATAAAATTAATAATGAATTTATTACAGGTCCAAAGAGCTATAATCAATTACAATGACAATTAGGTAGAGGTAGAGTTAAGAACATGCACCAAGGCAGCAAAATTTTAAAAGCTATTAACTAGATGTGGAGGCAGTATACTTCTGGAGATTTACACTCTTTTTAAGCAGTGTTTTTTATATCACTCCAGAAATAAAATACAATGGAGCACTAGAAATTAAGAACAATTAATATCTTTACACTTACATACACTGCATATTGTGTAGTAACATTAGTACCTTCATCAACAGTGATTAGAAGAATTGGGGAAAATGTTTTCTATTACTACACATACATTTATGGAAAACTTAGAACCTTGAGAGGTGTTAAAACACAAAATGGTTTCCTACTACAGATCCAAAGAAAGATGTCCTACAAAATGAGAACTTACCTACTTAAGAGGCCAATTTTACAAATACTACCCCACATACTGCTAAAATTTCACTCAGATTCTTCAGTTACTATGAAAAGGAGGCAAGGGGAAAAGATAGAGGATACACTACTGAACCGGTTAAGACTCCACGAGGCCACCCTTTCTTACCTTCTGCTTGGCTTCAATGTAAATACACGGAGTTGTAAGTACCACACCCAGTAATATTTACATAATTAGACTTAAACTGTATTAGAACTAATCTCTAAAGAGTTCTTTTAAAAGATCTTATTTGTCTAGCTCTACTCTTGTAATTTCCACTGATATCAGAAAGAAAACAAATGTATTGAGGGTACTGTATAATCCAAAATGTGCAGTTTCCTGCATTGATTTACTGGTTTCAACAGGTCTGATTTTACAATAAACATTCAAGTTAAATCAAGACAGTGAAAAATCATAGAAAGACTCATATATTAGTATTAACTTACTAATCTTTCCATAGCTCTCCTGTTGTAGTTGTTTCTGAAATCTTCCAAGGTTATCAACATTTTCACACTGATCTACTGAAGATGCAGGAGACTCTGCGTATTCAGATCTTCATACAAATCAGTAAAACAAATCAGTGAAAACACAGGTCAAAAGAAGGCTAAAAATTAAAGCTAATTTGATTCAGAAAATAACCCTTGACTACTTAGATAAATTAAAGGATTTGAAATATATAGGATGTGGCTTCTCTTATATTAATTATAACAATATGGTACCTTGGCAATGCTGGCAGCAAAGATTTGGGTGTATAAACAAAGTGTTTAAGATCCACATTCTGAGTTTGATTCAGTAGCTGCATCTTAAAAAAAAAACAACATTATTACAATGTCTGTACATGTGAGAGGAAAGATATATGTAGCGTCTCATTGTATTTTAATAATCTGGACCACAGTACTAGCGCCTTGCCAGGAATACAGGGTTGTTGGTTATGACATACCATCCTTCCCTGGAACCCATATGGAAAATCCATAAACAACTGCAACCCATACTAAAAGAAGACCCAATTTTCAAAGAGATCTTTCCAGAACCATCCATCCTAGCCTTTAAAAAAGCACCAAACCCAGGCCGGATTAATCCTTTAGTGGGCCTAGGCAAACAAACTCGTGGGCCCCGGGTCAGTCAAGACCCCCTCCCTCCTCGCCCAGCACTGCTGCCTGAGGGGAGCAGGGCTCAGAGCTGCCACTAGGAAGCAGCCACCACAGCGGGGAGGCCGGCAGAAGGGAGGCGAAGAAGGGAAGGGAGGCGGATGGAGCCATTCATGCTACCGCTGCGGAGGGAAGAACCAGGCTCCCCCATAGCTCAGAGTCCTAGGCATCTGCCTGGTTTGCCTATGCATTAATCTGGCCCTGACCGAACCTTACTAACCACATCACCAGAAGCAAACTTCCTATAGCCCAAAGCACACTGAATGGATCCAGACTGTGCCATGACAAAAAATGTAAAACCTGCCAACACATCTCTACCACTCCCACAATAACTACACCACAACAGAACCATCACCATTCCTGGATCTGACACCTGTACCTCCAGAAATGTAATATATCTCATCCAGTGCACTAAATGCCCTGATAGAAAATATGTAGGAGAAACCAAACAACAACTGCATACCAGAATGATCACACACCAAAAATCTATCAAAGACAAAAATACCCCATTATCTGTGGGTGCACACTTTTCACAAGACAACCACTCTCTCTCCAGTCTCTCAGCTCTAATCCTCAAATGATATTTACAAAGCACCTTTCATAGACAAGCCTATGAACTTCACTTCATAAATCTACTGGATACAAAAAATCATGGACTACATATAGACATTGGATTTATGGCACATTATAACCTGCCTGACATCTAATAACTCCAGGTAACCTGTCTGCATTTTACCAGTTACATTCTATCACCAGTTCTACATTCCTCTCCACTCCCCAACCTGTTCTCTCCCATTCCTCTGATCCTTACTGTCCCACATTTGCATTTTCATAGACCTGCATTTTACATATTGGCTTCTATTTTATCCAGGAGAGCACACACATATCAACAGACTTTCCCTATTGCCTGAAGAAGGGTGTTTGTGCCTGAAAGCTTGCAAAGAACAATTTTTCCAACTATTTAGCTGGTCTAGTAAAAGATATCATATCTATCCAAAGAACCTTGTTTGCCAGGAATATGGAAGCCAATGTATATATAAAATTATTACTCACATTTCAGAGATTATACATTAAATGATTTAGTATACAACTATCAGCTGGGATAAGTTTAAAAAAAATTTGAAAAAATGAATAAAATGATCAACTGAACCAGTGAGATTTCTGTTACACACCCATCTCAGCAAGCTCAGGCTGGTTATCATCCCTAACCTGTTAACCATATTATCTATTGACCCAATATCCTACGCTGTAGAAAGCTCTATAGGGAGAAAAGAAAGGGTTCCAAAAACTTAAGTGTAGCATTCTCCCCAAAGGAAGAAGAGTTTGCAAACATATCAGGATGAGGAGGGGGGCAACTGCAAACTCTGAAACACTGCAGAGTTAGAGAATGTGTCTGCAGGGTACACTGCAATGTTGTGTGGAAAGATCCCAGTTAGCTTGGATCAGCAGCAGTATAACGTCAGCACAGCACTCCCTCAACAGACTAATTAGCTTGGTAGGAGTGCTGCCTTAAGAATGCTATAATGTTTCTGGTATGCAAACTACATTGTTTGGAGCTAGCTTTGTTTCTCTGCAAAGCAGTGCTTTATACTGTATGAACATACTCTAAAGAGGAAAGTATTCTCAAACCTGTGGATCTCTGGGCATTCATGCACCAAAGCAGCCCTGCCCAGCAGCATTACTAAATCACTTGTCATATTTTGCCACGTAGACTCGTGGTTCCCAAATGTCCCTTCTATTAAGTCCGACACACTCTCCTAAACTTGCTGAGTATGGATAAGGCAGCATTTGTAGAAAGGGCCACTACAGCATTCTGGGACGCACTGGCTGCTCCTGCCAATTCTAGCCAGGTTCCACACAACCAGGGACAGCAGCAGCAGTGGGCAGGTCCCTCCTCCCTACCCAGTCCCACTGGTGTTCCCTGAGAGTCCAGGAGCAGGTGCAGAAGGGAATCTGCCCACCCACCACTGCTGTCTCTATTCAAGATTGCCTCCACTTGCAACCCAGCTGGAGTGGGGCAGGAGCAGCTCTGAATCTCCCAAGCCACTCCCAGCTCAGCTGACAGCAGCAGTGGTGGGCATGGGAGGTGGGGGATGTGCAGCTGAGCAGGGAGTGGAAGAAAAGAGGATAAGGGAAGATGGGGAAGGGGGAAAGAAGATAATTTCCTGCCTAAGGGACTTACAAAACAAAACAGGCCCCTCCTGCTGCTCCTGCAGCACGATTTGTCCCCTAGTGTGGGGGGTGGGAAGTCTTGGAGCCAGGATGCAGCCTCCCTGCAACTCAGGTTGCTACACCCTCTTTCTGAAATCTGGGATCTGCCCATGTGCATGTTTATTTTTTATTAATAAAATGGTTTCAACCTACATATAAAGATATCCATAAATTGACTAAAGAACCATTTCAATATTTTCATATGAACCTTTAATCGTTTCACTGGGGGTACAGATGAAATTGAGCTTCTGTTTCTTAAGTCAGATAGGTATGAAGAAAATTTTGAATCTCTCTTCAACTCAGACTTCTGAGAAACTCCAATTTTACCTAAGAAAAGGAATGAAAAGAATCTTCCATTTAGTCAATGGGAGTTTTGCCACTAACAACACCTTTATGATAATTACTGATGCATTTGTGTTTATACAAACTTATGAAAAGCTGAGTATTGCTATTAAATGCTAGACATGTTATATAAAGTATTATTTTGCATTTTATTACCCAGAGAATTTTTATCATTTTTCCTTTTTAGGTTGCATCCAATTAGCATTCTAAACAGGTTTGTCTTACTTAAGCTGCTTTTATGTCAATGCAACTACTGGCATGAACAGAATTTGTCTTAACTTGCCCTTGTGTAATAAAAAAGAAAGTAGGACCCTCCAAATTTAGATACTGGAAATAATGAAGTTTAAATGAAACTTACAGCAGTCATGTCCACAGGCATCTTTATTCTTACAGTGATGGTTGCATTCTCTGTTCCCAGGTTTTGTGTAGGAGACCTCTTGGTTACAAGTGCTTCCTAAATTAGTGCAATAAATAAATATTGACTTTTTAAAGCTCGTTGATAATAACAGTACCTCATATAGTAAAAACAAGGCCCAAACTTAGATATGATACTAGATCTTTGTTTACCCTCAAAACTTTTTGAGTCAAAAACTCCATCTGCTGGCTGTCAGCCAGAAAAACTTCTTTGGGCTGGTCAGACTATTTCACTAGCAAACCGATAGTTATCCCCACTGAATACTGCAAGCATCCCCACTGAAGCCTCCAACATGTGCCAAGTATTCCAAATCCAAGTGCTCCCAAATCCAAATCCATAAGGAAACATATCCCTACAGAAACAAGTGATCCAGTTGTATTTGATAATTGACTTCATTGTTAACATCAAGTCAATTTCAAAGACAACATACAAAGACTATGTCTAATACACTTCCTGTCTCTAGTAGCAATGTCTTCCAGCTGCTCTAGGCAGGCTGCCTTCTAACAGTGCAACAGTATAGACATATCGACCTTGGTGAGTTAACTGGCTTGGGGTCAGGCCAATTGACACCATCATTCAGCAGTGCTAATTAACCCAACTGAAGTGCTATGCAGAGATAGTTACACTGCTCTTGGTTTAAGAGGCAGTGCTCCCTAGAACACTGCAGTGACCTTGATGGTGCTGCTACCAGCAGTAGGAAGTTTACCATGTAGTCATTCCTAAATTCCTTAATATACTCCATTCACATGAATCATGCAACATATTACTTGACTATGAAGAGACATGAATAAATACAGGGCCCAAATCTTCTTCTACTGAAGAAAATGACCACGGTCCCATTGATAAGAGCAATAAGAAAAGGATGTGGTTCTTTATTAGTGTGTTATTTACCAGTATCTATTCTTGCTGAAGATGCTTTTATTGAAGGTGCGTGATATACATCAAGTGAAGACTCAGCATCTGATTTTCTGTGTACAACTACTTGATTTCCAAACCTTTTTGCTCCTAAGAAAAAGGCTGTATAGTTTTGCTGAATATCAAGCCCAACTTTCAAAGATAAAGACAAAGACAAAAAACACTTAAAATAAATTTTAAAATATTTTTTTTCTGTTATCATTTACTTCCACAATGAGGGGAAACAGTATATATTAGCTATTAACATGGCACCCGGGATTTTGATAGTATTGTTTCTCAGTTGTGGAAATACTGTAAGAGTGGAATGTCACGGTTGAGATCTTAAACACAAAATTCAGGACATTTAAAAATATGGTTCCTGTAAAAATCACTTAGCTATGTGGCCAACCTGTGGCACATGTGCCACAAGTGGCAACCTCTGTGTAGGGCACAGAGATCAGGAAGGGGGCAGGCAGAACAGCAGCAGGTATGGTAGGAAGGAGAAAGCAGGGCAGCAGATTAGACATGGGAAGGGGATCAGGGAGGCCTTTCCAAAACGTTTAACCCCCACCACTGTAAAGGATGCAGTGTTCATTTTAACCATGTTGCAGGGGTTTAGGTTGTAGCCGTGTTGGCTTGCTTAATAACTTTTCTCCAACTATTTGGGTTGGTCTAATAAAAGATATCAAATTCACCCAAGGAACCTTGTCTGCCTGTGTTCATTTTAATGCATTTATATTTGCATTTGTTTAAATTGCTACTGTGTTCTAAGTGTGCATTTCTGATGTTATTTTGCAGTTTCCACTGAGAATTTCACCACAAGCTGCCACTGAGGAATGCTAGTAGCACTATTTCCACTAACATAAGCAAAATTCTTGCAGTGGATACTAATAATATTTTCAGCTTTAGACAACAAAAATATGTATACAAGATTATACGCAAGGAAGTATTCACTACTAAGGCTGTAAATGTTAGGATAGCCAAATCTGAAATAGAACTTGAGTTGGTAATGTGGCCAAGACATGAGGGAGAAGGGACTAAAAAGAGGTTCAGTTTGGACAGGGATAAACACAAAGCAGAATGTTTTGGAATCATTTTTCTGAGAAAAAGTAGTGGATTTATCTCGGGGAGGGGGGGGGCAAATGGAAATGATTAGCAACCAGTGGTGACGCATAGGGGGTGCTAATCATTTCCATTTGCCCCCCCCTCCCTGAGATGCACCACTTCTGGTGCACTCCCCAGCCAGCGCTCTCGGGGGGGACACCAGCGCTCTCGCCTGGCCCCCACCCCGGGAACCCTGACTGACAGGGTGCACCAGCGTTCTCAAGGGGTCCATAACCTTTGGTTGTTTTCTTCCAGCTTCTTGTGGGGCCCTGGGTCCACACCACAGAACTACCACAACTACATGGGCCAGATCTGAAAATGATCATTCCAGCAGCAGTGGGGCAAGTGGCTGCAGACCAGGCAGCCACTTGCTGGGGTAGAGGCACACAAGCAGTAGCGGGCCATGCAGCTGAAGGGCAACTAACTGCTGTGTTGCACTGCTTTCACTCACCTGCCTGCTGCCAAGGGTCATTTTCACAGGGGCCCCAAATTTCACAGTAGACCACGCTCACAGCTGGCCACACCCCAATTTCTGGTAGCCCGGATGGAGCAGCTCTGCAAGCCAGATCAAGTGTGCAGGCCATGTGTTTGATACCCGCTGGATTAAGCAGACAATTTCAAATAAAAGACTGAAGAGGGGTCTGGTCAATGCCCACCTGTGGCTTGGTGTTTACAGCACTATTATCCCTGGAGATGAGTCCTTAAAACAAGGGTCTACCTCACTTCTGGTGAAGTGCCCTTACCCCTAGCTTACTGGACTCTAATATGAGAAAGTGGTCCTTTTCCTCCTTCCTCCCCTGCTACTAGGCCAGCTACAATTTCAGGTCCTAAGAAGCCTTAGACATATAAATACAACCCTACTGAATAGGCTTAGTTGTCATTTGGACAGTTCCACATGCAAAGCATACCTTGAAGAGAATCACAAACTATAAGTAAGAACCAAAAATAGCCCTGCAACTACATCTGAAATAGAAATGAGTCCACAACTAAGCAATGAGTTTACACTGCAATGTAACAGCTAACTGTTTTACTCACTTCCCCAAGTACACAAGCCAGACCACAGCTCAGTTATTATACTGGATGTCAATCACCAGGAAGTGATTCAACTCAGGAAGTGGCAAAATGTGGGAATAGAGCAGTTTTATTCCTTTAATAAAAGATTTGCTGTTACCTAAATTATGATGTTGAGATTAGACAGCCATAATCATTACTTTTATAACAATATGCAACACAATTAAACATTTCTAGATTAGTTCATTTTTCTTATATGTTTTGTTTAATTTAAATGACACTGGTTTTACTATTAATTAAAAATTGGTAACTGTTGTTTTTAAATCCTAATCATACCAATTAACTTACCATAGTCAGAACTGATTACATTTATGCTAAGTTCCTCTGATTTAAGAGCTCTTTTCACTTCAATTTTTTTAGTCCAATTTCCAGTCTTCAGCAAGGCCGAATCTCTGTAACAATATTTGTAAACTTATATTAAGCATACACAATGGAATATATAGAGGTAAACATTTTATTAAAATAATTACAGTTGTGATACTAGTAGTATGGCATTGAAAAGAGACTGCAGACCAGTCTTGATTCTGTTGGTGATATTCAGAATGATATAATGTATAAAAGAGAACTTCTAACCTGCATATTGGGTTATAATTTAGTAACTAAATGACACTATGGATGAGGCTCACATGACATCATCAAAGTGGCTGCATGAAGCTAGACCTCCTGGGGGGAGTGACAGCACAGTCCATTAGTGATCCCTGACCTTCTTGACTCCCCAAAAGTATTTTCCCACTTATATAATGCATACCACACACACAAGGAGGGTGGGGGGCAATTTGAAAAGCTACTTTCTAAGAAGCAACTTGCTGGAAGATCATTCAGAACAGCTTATAGGGGCTGCAGAGTAAAAGATGGCTGCTGCAGGGGAAAAAAGAAAAGGTAGAACAGAGAAGGAGAAAGACACTTCCTAGGGAAGTGGTCCTTGCTCCTACCTTGGGTAAGTTCAAAAAGAGGTTGGATGAACACCTGTCTGGGGTCCTGTGATCCCAGTGTGTGCTCCAACCAGTGGCAGGGGGTTAGACTAGGTGATCTATTCAGGTCCCTTCTGACCCCTAACTACTATGAAACTATGAAACAAATATGTCCTTTGACGAGATAAGACTTTGATGAGTTAATCTCAGAAATCAGAGCTTTAAAATCTTTTATTGAGGCACAGTCTGAGAAAACCAAAGCTGAAATAAAAGAAATCAGAGGCTGGGTCGCAGAACTGGAGATAAAGGTGGACGGCAACCTGCAATTAGCTATACATCTGAAAAATAAAATTAAGACGTGTGAAAACAAAGAAAAGAAGCTTGCGGGAAAAAAATGAGATTATAGTAAATGAGAGAAGAAATAATATAAAAAATAAAAGGACTCCCAGAAGGTATTCAGAAGGGAGATTCAGCTGAATATTTAAAGCAGGTATTCTACTCCTTCCTACAGCTGAAAAAAAAGACAACAGCCCTGGTAGAGAGAGCACACAGAGCTCACTGCACTCCCAATTCAAACAAACCAACAGACATGGTAAATTTGTGCTCTGTTGTGAACAAGAGGAGTAATTCTGAAGAAGGTTAGAGAGACTATTGATCCTACTCTACGAGTATATAAAATGCAAGTGTTTCAAGACCTGTCACAGGCAACATAAAGGAGAATGAAAGAAATGAAGGTGCAGACAGAAGTGACAATTTTCGCCCAATCTGGACCCTGAAAGTGCTCTACAGCTGTGACCAAACACAAGTGCATGGCTGCAGAGGGCTTTATAAGGGCCTAATCCCACAAAAATCTGAACCAAAACGGAGCGCCTTCAGTAACCTGTGTCTGTATGCACCGTGAGCAGGGCTGGGCTGATGCAGCTCGGCCCTACTCTCAGCGCTGTCTTCAGAATGGGAGGGAGAGAAAGGAGTGGAGAGAGTTAGGTCTGAGGTTCTTTCAGATGGTGCTGGATGGTGGAGTAGGTGGATTGAAGCTCCTCCCCATCGAGGTTGGGGGGCTCCAATCCAGCCACCCCACCTACCAGCACCAGCTAGGCAACCTCAGAACTAATCCCACCCCCCCCATTCTGAAAACAGTGCCAGGGCGAATTCTTCTGCTGTTTTCAGTGCCAGGGCTGGGAGGGGAGAGAGGCATTGCTAGAGAAGTGCCATGAGTTACAATGAGGAGCTGCTTTTCTGTCTGCGCCTTGAATGAAAGTATATTATCTCTCAGAGAAGCAAATACAAGATATAGATGGGGTTTTCCTTTTAGACTTATCTTTACACATAAACAACAGCAGTATATTATAAAGGAGAATAAATAAGGGCTTAAGATCCCTGAGTAACTAAACTTAATAAGCTACTCAGGGATCTCCCTGGAAGGGAGCACCCTGGAATCTTATACAGACCGCGAAAGAAAAGCAACACCATAATACAGAATGGCAAACTCTTAAACCCAGGAGAATAAAGGCATCTAAGTACAAGGACAAAAAAGACTGGGAGAAGTCACAAAACTAGAAGCATTTAAGAAGATTTGAGTGGGACTGAATAATACAAGGGAGAAAAAAATTAAAAATGGAGGGGAGAATACCATAGGGGGAAAACATAAAACAGCAATGTTTGGAACCACAATAGGAAAATGAGGAAGTAAAGACATATTCTAGGGTTAAAGGCAAAGGGTAAGGGAGGATATTAAATGAATGATGGAGAGGTGTATTAAATATAGTGTAACTTGGGAAAAAACTGGTGGAAGGCCTGAAATTTTCTGATACTCCCTTGAGAAAACAGTATCTGATGAACTATGATATAGTGCCATGATTCCTCTTGGGTGGGGGCAGGAACCTCCCAAATAGAAGTTCACTACTCAGGAGTGGAGGAGTTAAATATAATTGTGTGAGGCTTAGGGTGAATCTCCACATTTTAGGAAAGGGGTAAAGAACACAGAAATAAGGATCCTTTGGGGAGCCAAAAGGCAGGGAAATTGGACTGGGTAAATAATGAGGGTGTGGAGAACAGGGGAGAGAGGGGCTAAAGGGCAAAGGACATATAAATAAGGATTGTTTGGGGATCCAAAATTGGACCGGGTAAATTATGAGGGAAAAAACCAGGGGTTTTGTAACTAAAGATATTTTTAGGGAAGTATGTATAAAAGAATACACAGGAAAACACAATACTGCAGGTATTTAAGTAGACCAAATATAATCTAGATATGTTTTATTTTTTATATTACAAGGAGGTGAAGGCAGTTGCACTCAACGTAATATATGAATATTATTTAACAGCCAGCAAGCCAGTGTTCCTATTCAGATCGACTATTAGTAACTGTTGTATTTGCATGTATAAACATTACATTGACAATACAAATGATAATGTATAAGAACTGTAATATATTTCTTTTGTAAATAAGTAATCACTCTAATTCCATGCAATTACTGTATATTACTCCTATGTTAGGATTTTGTTTCTATATTTGTTTGGGTTTTTTTTTTAAATACTGTGGACACACTTTTTAACCATTTTGCTTAAGTACAAATAACTGCATGAAGTACAAAGCAAAACAGAGTTGATTTTCTTCATGGATGTTATAAATATTATATTATGAAAGTTTTAAGCAACCTGACTTACATAATTTTTTGTTTAAAAACGACTTCATTATCAGCATTTCCTATTATCAAGGTTACATAATGGAAATCTGGTGCTGTTCTCTTTGTCTGCAGTTGTTTGAAGTTTGTTAATATGATAGTCACTACGATTTCAGCCACTGTATCACTGTATTTTGAAACCTAGAAATATATATATAAGATATAACCAGTAAAAATATTAAATAAACGACTTCATACATCTGTATACAATACGAGATCTGTTCAAAAAGTACTGAGACTGATGCTGTAGGAAACAAAATATTTTATTTACAGGGGTTTTGGTTTAGTCTCCTTTGAAATATGCTCCTTCTGCTGCCACACACTTCTCCCAACGTTTCTGCCATTGTTGGAAGCCCCTCTGATAAGCAATTGTGGAATCACTAAAAGCTGCTCAGTTGCATTTTGTTTTATAGTTTCCACATCACAATTTTTTCTTCCTTTTAAAGTTTTCTTTAGTTGAAGGAAGAGAAAAAAGTCACATGGGGCCATATCAGGTGAATATGGAGGCTGCAGTACTTGTGGGATACAGTGTTTGGCTAAAATTTGGCTAAAAATTGTTTCATAAGCTGTGCTGAGCGGGCAGGCACATTGTTGTGGTAAAGTACCCAAGAGTCGGACATGCACTTTTCTGGTTATTTCTCTAGTCATTTCATTCCGAAATTAGTGGTTAGAATTGGATTACATGAACCAACAGAAATTCCAACTTCTGCTATCTCTTGGGCAGTCCATCACCTATCATTTTGAACCAAACTGAGAACTGCTGCCACATTTTCATCGTTTCATGATGTTGAAGGGTGTCCTGGAATGCTCATCACTTTCGACCAATGATCGTCCTTCTTTAAACTGACTATACCATACAAAAACTCTTGCATGGCTCATAGTGTCACCACCAAATGCTATTTTAAGTAATTAAATGTTTTCACTTGCCATTTCCCCAATTTTCATGCAAAATTTAATGCATGTGAGTAGTTCTGGACACACTGACATAATGAAAGGGGACATGAGAAACAAACGATCATACTTCAACTGCTGGCCACAGAAAACTGGGGAAACACCATGAACTGCAAACCTGTCCAAAGGAGTCCCAACATGCCCAGACACGTTCAGCAAAGCCGCGTCCCCCCCCAATACTTTGTATCACAAATACATGTTCAGTCTCGATACTTTTTGAACAGATCTTGTATACATACACACATGCTTAATTTGGACAGGTGCAGTTTCAATTGGGCAAATAGCTGTTTTGCCTCTATAATCTAAGGTATATTTGTTAAGTTTAACTGAATGTTCAGAATTTAAGATAATCTTTGACCAGAGGTGTAGAATAACACAGCACAGAAAAAACTTTGTCTACTGTAACGGGAGAATGGAAATCTGATTCTATGAGGGATGCACAGCGAGGAAACTACAGACACATCATGATTCATTTTTAAAAGGAAAACTTTTAACAACTCAGGCAGCTCTTTGTGAAGCATTTATCACTATTAAATCTTCCTTCTGAAAGAGTCACTAACAAGTTATTTAAGGACTTGTGCCAATCTACAAAATAAAAGACTAAAATTGATCATTATTATAATAATAGTCATAACACTTCAAACTTATCTGGAAGCTTTTACTTCAAAGTACTTTCCAAATTTAACTAATTTTCACAAGAATTCTGAAAGTCAGTGAAGCTTTGTCAATCAAAGCAGAATGACTACAGGATTTATCCAAGGGCACAGAGTGAGTGAGCATCAGAACATGTTTCCCATGCTTGCAGTCAAATCACTAGAACATGCCTCTCCTTTGATGTGCACAGTATCAATTAGCTGCATCTTAACAATCTATTTTTTCTTTAGGTTTTTAAATCTTTTTTATACAAAAGTATAAAAGTTGCTAAATAAGTTCTCACTGAACTTGTTCTGTCCACAGCTTTTGTAATTAAGATGAACCAGACAGACGAATCCTCAAATACATCATGCTATACCGTGTAAGCTATGTTTGCACAGTGCTGCAGATTGGATAATTAGCACTGCTGAACGTCAGTGCCAATTAGTCTACCCTTGTGCTACTTGGTCCACCCACAGTACCATGTAAACAAAGCAACGGTTTCCAGTTCAGGAGGCACATTATGCAGAGCAGTGTAATGTGTTTGAAAGCACCACTACCTGACATGGTAAGAAAGGACTTTCTTTACATATTCACAGTTACAGGTAGTGTTATCAACTTTTGTGTTTTTTTAATATAAAAGCCTGCCAGTGAACAGCAGTCAGAAAATAAAAAAGAGCAGATGTACTGTGGAGAACAACTGATTCAAGACATCCTTTCTTTATGTCTTTTACACTAAAATTTTCTGAAGTGTGGATACCAAGAAGTAGCCGGGGCCACAGAAGATTCCCACTATCAGAAGTTTGAATAAGTGTTTATCAGTTAATGAAGTAATATTTTATTGAAATGATTCATTTTTACCATGCTAACATAAATACAAAGCAAAGCAAACATAAATGCATTATCCAATACATTTAAGAGAAGCAATTACCTGCTCAATATCAAGTGCATATTTTGGAAGGTGTATCACAGACTCTTTTATTTGGTTTCCAAAAGGAGGGTGTCTGTTTAAGATCTGTAAATATTTAGTTTATATAATTCATAATAGTACAGAAATCAGAAAAGTTAATTTCAAATTAAGATTTCTAATAAGAGAATGCAAACAATCAGTAACCAACAGTTCTTGCTCACTTGCAACTATCTTGACATCAAGGAAGTTCAATATCTTTTCAAGATCTGACCTATGATCTGCAAATACTATATCTATATTTAAAACATGAGTTATTTTCCAAGACAGTATAATATCTTTAAATGCTGTATTCTGAGGCAGTTACTACTTTAAGTTACCAGGAAAGATTTGACACAAAGAAAATACCAGTTGCTCAATACTATACAAAAACTGATAAGCCACTAGCAGATTAGTCTCTCAAAAGATACCTTTGACCTCAATCTTCAATACAAAGAATCTGGAACTTATTATACTCCTTAAGCCTTCCATCCCCACCCCAACCCCCAAAAGAAAAAACTGTTAATAAAGACTGCCCAATTAAACAGATCAGACCACAGACAACTGTATCTGATAAATTAAACTAATCAGAGTAAGAATAAAACCCCACAAATCAGGAATAGGGACAGTTTGAAAGAAACATTCAATAGTATGACAGTGTTTTAGAAATAATGGCAAAATAGCTGCCCATGCTGTTTGTCTGGAGCAAAGTAGAAAACAGCATAGCAGCAGAGACCACTTACAGCAGCATTGCTGAGTGCACCCAGCCCTTCTGACTAAGTAGGAAAGTGATGTAATCCTAATAAATGGTCATTGCACACAAAATAGTTTTAGTTTGAAATTGCTTCTAGTTTTTGAAATGCACTTATACAGGCAACCCCCACTTAACACCGTTTCACTTAGCGCTATTTCGCTATAACACTCATTTTAAATTGATACCTGATTTCACTTAGCGCTCAGCGAGTTTTATTATAACACTCGTGGTCACCATCTTGGGTCATTAAAAACAATTGTGGTCATCATCTGGGGTCATCAAATACTTTTGGTTTTGCTTAACGCTCATTTCGCTTAACACTCAGTTTTTCAGGAACCAATTAAGAGCACTAAGCGAGGGTTGCCTGTATATGTACTGAAGTGTAATCATAACTTGAGTCCTATATAAGTCGATTTTCTATGGACACTCTGCAGGGCATTTGTCTAAGGCTGAATTTTTGGAATATTTCAGACAAAACTGTTTAGCTCTTTTTAAGAAAAGGACAGAGAAAAATGCATTGTCTGCAATGTTATGAAATTTATATAGATAATTTTGTTTGAGAAGCGTAGTCTTTGTCTCTACTAAATGTTCTTTATTGTACCATGGTAATTACATCATCATGTTTTTTTTTTCTGCCCACTTCTTAATTCAGTGCACAAGAGGCAACTAAATCAGGATTATGTAGTGAAGAAGACTTATTTGCAAGAGCTTTGCCTTATTTATTGTAGAAAATGGAAGATGTGTACTAAGAGGCAGGAGTCTGCAGAAAGAGAAAAAACAGTCTGATGGCTGAGATAGAATCCCAGGGCCTTTGTACACACCACGTTTTTTGCCCTTTCTTGCACTGCAGCTGCATGCCTGTTTGCACGTGGGATTTCTGGACGTTTTACAAGTCTTTCTGGTTCATTAAACTATAACTCCTCAGACGTAGTTTAGTTTGGCTTGCCAGGAATTAAAGTGTCACGTCCACGGATTCGTTGTGTGCAAATACAAGGGCACTCAAAGTCATGTAAATGAGCCTCTTTTTCCACCAGATGGCACTGCGGCTTTTTTGCAGTTCACCCCTTTTGTCTACCAGATGTTGCTTTGATTCGCAGACTGGAGACAAAAGAGGACACCTGTAATTTGCTGGTATTTTTGTGTAATTATTTTCAGACACCAGGTGAGCAGCTCAGCCTGACATGAATCAATCTTCTGCTCACCTACCTGTGAGACACCTGTGCCTTCCCATTCCCCTGCCCCAAACCTGTAATCATATCTAAATGGACAGAGCCTTTTGCTCATATGAACTCTAGAGTAATGTAGCAGGATTCTCACACGATACAACTGAAGTTCAGGACTTATCTACTGATTTAGTTCCTACTGGCTAACCCAAGAAGGTTGAGAAATGGAGCAGGTGTAGTTAAATTAATTAATTCTGTATATAAAGAACTGGTTCAAAAACACCGAGATTAATGATTACAAATGTGTTTAAATTAGAAATTAGAAGACATTTAAATCACCAAGCTGACCTGCAGTTTTTGACCAGAATAACTTTCTACCAGTTTTTCCCGTTTCAGGTGAATCTGTAAACAATGTTCCTTTAAAGGTCTTGTGCCACAGGACATGAGGTTCCAGCCTGGAACATGAGGACATGAAGTTTCACACTTATTCCTCCCTTCCCTACTCCCTCCTATCTCTACTCATTGTCTTCCAATCTTCCACCTGTTTACATTTTTACAGGTTCTTTTCTATCTTCTCAGAACAGCACCAGTCTTGAAGATGGTAATATGTCTGAAAGCTTGCAAAGAACTTTTTTCCAACTATTTAGTTGGTCTAATAAAAGATATCACATCTACCCAAAGAACCTTCCCTGCCTATGTCTTTGTCACAAGACTCATGCACTGAGTGTTATGATAAAAGTTATAATATAGAGTTGTTCCCTATGTGTGTATGCGTGCCACCTGCATGGGCACCAGGCCTGGGGGGGCAGGGGCTGTGGGTTGGAAGTGAGGGGCACAGGCAGGGCTGGGGTGTGAGGTGCAGTGTCAGGAGTGAGAGGCAGCAGCAGGGCTGGGAGGGGGCTGTGGCTGCCTCCCACATGTGGAGTAAAATTCTGGTCCCTGTGGAGTAAAATTCTGGTCCCAAGGATAAAAAGGAGGATTTTGCATTTACTACAGAGGGGCCAGGATTTCACTTTATAGATATCTACTACTATAAGAACAATTGCTTAAATTCAGGAATTTCAATATTAAGATGGGCAAAGAGGAGAGATGATAAAGCACATTCCCAGAAAGAAAATTCAAATTTAACTGTCCTCTTTACCCATGAGATGATGAAATTTCTGAATTTGATCTGTTATCTTCTTAATACTGAAAAAGTCCTCAAAAAGAAACAAAATATCAACATAATATTCCAACTAATCAACTTCCATTTTGTGAGATAATTGCATATTACTTTAATCTGATAATGTTTGAAAACAAAACTTTTAAAACGACTGAATCTACTGATTATAAATTAGATATGTAAAAACTTATTCATAATTCATTAAATGTTAATGTTAAGTGTTTTTCTTTATCATATGAATACACAAAGAAAAAATGTCAAAATACCAATTCAAGTTCTCTTGCATTTGTATCTTCTATTTTTTTAAATGATGTCAGACCTGAATTTACCATTGCATTTGACAGCATCACACCTGTTGAAAATTGAATATTTTTAAATGGTTAATTTTTACAAATAGCAGTTCATAATTCCAAGTTACTATTTTCCATAGCTGCATTGTGGCAAGTAAATATAAAGCATAAATAATTTAACTGTCTTGTCTATTTCCATATGATTTCCTTTTGGTTGGTCATTCTATTTAGATTTAATTCAGCTGCTACAACAGAAATAAGACAACATAAATTCAGTAAAATGAAATATGAAAACTTTGAGAATGACAATTTCTTCATTAATTTCTGAAATCAAAGAAAAGTAGATCAAGGACCAATTCCTACAGGCTTTACACAAGAAAACTGCCAAGAACTTAGAACTAACTAACCTGAATATAAATTAGTAAGCAACTATAAAAACAGAATGGCACTTAAATAAAATAATTTCTCCGCAAAATATGCTTATTTCCTATCCAAGGGACCCTTTTCAGCAGATACTAAACTTCACAGAGATTTCTATGTTTATTGAGCAAAGAAAAGGCTCTTGTCATGGGTCCAAGAAAGAGAGATCACTTCTCCATGGAAGAAATGGAGAATCTTCTGAGTCTGACCTGGGGAGAGTTTCTCTTCCCAGCAGAAAAACCTCTCTTGCAGGTTGATTTTTCCAACTCTGGAGACTGTATCAGCCATGACATTGCTTTGCTGCTGCATCAGCAAGATTCCTGCCCTCTTGGGTGAGTTT